AGGGACAGCGGTATCTTGAGGAAACATGCCCCCAATGTTTCCACTCGCACCGGGTATAGGCAGTGGTGGGCACAGCTAACCGAAAAGTTAGCTTTGCTAATCGCTAATCCGTTAAGTAAAAAATTAGCTCCGCTAACACTAAACGCTAACCGTTAACTTTTTCACATGAACTGAGATTCGGTTTAGTGTTTTGGTCTTTTGCTTCTACTTTTAAGACTTTTAGAGTAGACCTGAAGAGCTTCCTAGTAAGATATAGAAAGAAAAGTCATATTGTGATCAAGTGCCCCTAGTGTGAAAATAGCGATTGTTTAATTTACTGGGTGTCATGCGAAGATCAGATGATGGCTGGGCTGATTACTACTCTAGTTGGGCCTTCTCCATCGCTTTGATGTGATGCTGGTTGCCCTTCATGAGCTGCTGCTCCATAATAAGTGTCAAGGGCTCCAAGACAGTTCAACTGCCTCCCAGAATACATAAGGGGGATTATCAATAGACCCATGGCTGTTTTCAAGAAGGTACTAGACAGGCACCTAAAGTCAGCACCTGACCAGCCGGGCTGTGGTTCGTACGTCAGTTTGTGTGCGGCCAGCAGTAACAGCCTGGTTGATCAGACCCTGATTCACCATGAGGCCTGGTCTCAAACAGGGCCGCGGGGACGTTGACACCTTAAAACCTCTCCAGATGTTTTCCTCGCTTGAGTCAGGCGCAGGAAATGGTTCAGATGGCCAGTAGATTACCAGGTGATGGCTCTGAAGATATGCAGGAAGATGATATAATTGAGCTCTTAAAAGGACACAAGTGCAACTAATGTAACATTTTATTGTGGCAACGTTTCGCTAGTTGCACTTGTGTCCTTTTACTTTACATATTGTCGGTAATTCTGCCAACATTATTACAAATGAGCTCTTAGAAAATGATGACAAAGACAGAAGTCCAGAGGAAATGTTAGCAGAGCTCAGTGCACAGATACAGGGAGATGAAGAATCCGAAGAAAAAAGTTAACATTGCAACAGTTACGTGAGCAGTTCCATGTTGCTGATACAGACAATATTAAATCTAGAAACACTGCTCTGAGATGGGGTCTAGAGCAATTGTTGATGCTTTAGTATCAGCGGTATAAATTGTTGCAGGATAAAAGAGGCCAGAGAAGCATTACATAATTCCTTACTTCTCCAGTAAAATCATGGACTTCAGTGTCAGAGCCTCAACCATCCACCTCAACTGACAATCCACAATCACCTACTTCAGGCAGTGGCCACTACATCCTCCCGCTCTTTCTCTAACATTTGTAGCTTTAACCAGGACATTACATAAGAACGTAAGAAATAAGGAACACTGCAACAGGTCTACTGACCCATGCGGAGCAGGTCCATGTCCCCCCCCGATTAGCCCAATGACCCACCCAGTCTGGTCACCTCCACTCAAGGATGGAGCACGGCACCAGACCCAGCAGCACAAGCTAGTCAGTGGAAATATAAACACAACATGCATATATATGTGATCCCTTTATTGACAACGTTTACCCACGACAGTGGGCTTTTCCTCAATAACTCACTCGGGATTGTATAACCAACAATTCACCACAACATCTTCTACACAAGTGAACCATCGCCAAGAAACTTCTTCATCGCTATCCCATAAGAACATAGACACTGCAGAAGGTTACTCCAACTTGTCCAATATCCCCGCTAGCTCCCAAGACTCTCAACCCCGCGGTAGATCATTCGATGCAGCAATCTTCACTGCCTCACGTTCTGAATATAAATATCCCTGTTACCTTCTAACCCAGGTCGATCCGTGTGTGACTTGAAAGCCAGGTGGGTGAAACGTTGTCAATACAAGATCAATTATAATACTGCATTTGTGTTTAAATTTCCATTGTGTCGGTATTTTATCCATTTTAGTTCACAAGCTAGCAGGACTAACTCAACCCACCACATCCCTCATGTATTTACTAACCCATTTTGTAATAACTACAACGTTTTAGCCTCATAAATGTACTTGGGAGTTCCACTCAATCACATACTATATTACCAACCAGTATTTCCTATATCCTTCCTGAATCTGAATTTTTCCAACTTGAAACCATTGCTGCGAGTCCTGTCTTGGCTGGAAATTTTCCGCACGCTATTTACATCCCCTTTATTTATCCCTGTTTACCATTTATACACCTCGATCATGTCATTAAACATAATACATATCGACAAACAGTTATAATTACATCATTTTTGTTTACAATTTACAAATAAGTTGCTTGCCATTGTTGAGGGGTACAAAGAACTTAACTCAAATTTTTCCATATGTTCTTCATTTTGTTATAGACGATTTTGTCTTAGACACCATTAAGAACGTTACTACCGTGATAATCGACGGAAAACTATATATTATAGTTATCTCCTCCAAAATGATGGAGCAAAAAACCGTTTTGGTAAATAAATTGGAAAGGTAATTTATTACGAAAGAAAATGTATATATAAATTTATTTTGATAATACTCAAAAATAGTCTAATCACTGTTTAGGTACAAAGTTTTTTTTTCTCTGTTTAATGATTAATGATTTTCCCGTTTTGACAAATTATTTTGAATACTAATTTGTTAAAATGTCAAATATATAAAAAATCATTTAGTCAATACACTTCACATAATTAGCTGAAAAATATATACGAGTCAATTAAGCGCACAATTTACTCTTGTTTAATAAGTGCAACAGTATAAAATTAATAACAAAAAAAGGCACAATACCGTGACTGGAACGATACACAAATAACCCGCATATAGAAGAGAGGAGTTTACGACGACGTTTCGGTCAGACTTGGACCATTTACTAAGCCACACTAACGAAAAGGAGAGGAGGGAGTATATATAAGTAGGGGGTGGGAGTAGTAGTAGTAGTAGTGAGGAAGATAGTAAGGAGGACGAGGAGCCAATCAAATACTAAGCGGAGCACTGCACGTTTCGGTCCAAGTCGGACCGAAACGTCGTCGTAAACTCCTCTCTTCTATGTACGGGTTATTTGAGTATAAAATTATGTAAGGAAAACATTTGTACAGATATAAGTATGTAATGTATGTACTTTACATATTGGTCAATATATCAGACCCCAGTAACACACTGACATAGAAGGCAGACTTTAAAAATACAATAATAACAAGGAAGACTCCCGCAACACTATGGTCAACCAGGAAGACTCCAGCAACACAATGTGTGTCACAATTATCTTTGGTGTGGAGTGAACAGACAGAAACATTTCAGGAAAGGAAGCTATTTGTTTATAAAAATAAAATTGGGTACATCAGTAGCGTGCTATTGCTATCATACTCTACATAGTAGGAGCACTTGCAGTGTGCTCTTGCTATCCTAATTAAAATGTAGGATCAAACACCAGCTATACTACACTGTCATACCATCACACAAGATGGATTTTGTACATCAAGTGTGGGGTAATCGGTCAGCCTGAGCTGGGAGTTCAGTGATGGTGTAAAGATGTCGTTAAACATTCTGCGTTGGATTCAGTAGTTACTTTAGCTTCAGAGACTTCGTCTCCTATGAACTGGAGTTATTATCACATGGGAATTACCTTCTCTCAGGAATGAAAACTGGAGGCCTTACCACTGATGTACGGATTCTTATAACCTTGGGATCTTTGTTACTTATACAGTAATTCATGGAATAAATCAAAGCAGTTTATTAACCAGGAACACGCAGTTGCATTGTGAAGCTTGCAATATTTAATCAGATTCTTGATTCTCTTGTAAATATTCACATCGGTTTAAAAGAACGACACTTTTACTATCCTGAATATGCTTAAGGTAAAGCTAGAGGAAAAATACTGACGAGTTGAAAGTTATCAAGTAAGTCTTGCACAACTGAATAATAGTTCAACTTTTGCTGTTACAGAGGTGAGGATGAAGACAGAGAGACAATTTATCTCAAACACTTATCCCCAGTGTGCTAACGGACCAACAACCACTTCATTTAACCCTTTTGAGTAAACAGAGAACGAACGACTATTAGGAATCGAAGCGAACTCAAATTTTATATTTGAAAGGCGACTATTAATTAAAGTCTAAACGTTATTGAAGCTTAAGTGTTGGTGACGTTGATTCTGATTACAAGACAGGGAGGTAATAACACTCAAGTAACTTACAAAAAGATAGTGAAGTAGTAAAAATACACTGAGAACATAGTACAGATGTAATTAATAGCAGGGTTTATATACCATGGCAGTAACAATGCCATGAGAACATAGTTCATAGGTAACTTATAACAGGAAATATACTGTATTCCATCGCAGTAACAATGCCATGAGAACTTAGTAGCGAGGTAATTTATAACGGAATACAGTGTCAGTAACACACGAAGATAAAATAAATGACGGCAATTATGAGTTTTTCAGACTCTTATCACTAATATATGCGAATTAGCTTATATGCGAATTAGCTCTCAAAATTAAGAACTATATCATATTATTGATAGTTTACAATACGATAAACTTATTATTAAAAGCAAGAAATATATATATTACACATTTGAGGAAGGGGACAAACAGTATCTTTGAGCCTAAAATATTAGGACAAATGAATACTGAAAATTGCACTGCTATAATATATAAGGCGAGAAATATTAATGGGTAACTTTGGTCAGAAACGAAATACTGCAGAAGAAACAGCGCTGAATAACTTACGGGTTTAGTGCACTTTAATTTAATAATAATACTGACAAAACAATAATGATATAATTAATAACAGCAGGTATAATGATGATACTGCAACTACTGCTACTGCTAATAATAATAATAAATCACAGGACATATACACCGAAAAGTGTTTGTTTCTAAGTGCATATATACTATTTTATGATTAAAGTATTCTTGTCTTGAGGTGAAAATGTTATATGCAGTCTTAATGACCCAGTGTAGTCGGTATGTTTTTCTAATCATATAACATATAACTGCAGTCAATTAAATCGACACATGAATTGTAATCTTATTCAATTAATATCAATATTAATAACTGCAAAGGTCAAAGTAGTATAAGAAATGTACATAGTCCGTATATTTTGTGATAAGTACGAGCACTCTTGCTGTGTATGCACTGAGAGGAACAGTACATGTACACTTGGTGGTTTAGATATCTCACTCTATGTACACGAAGAGTTAAAGCTTATCGACACCGGGCGGTCATCATATGGCTAAGACCAGCATCAGGAACCACTTTTCCTGTTTCTTGACAAATTTTACCTAACCTAACTTGGGACTTATCAAGGGCGCACGTCAATTGTTCGTCACCATTCGGAAATGCTGTACTAGTGTACTGTAATCCCAAATAAAGGCAAAGAGGGATTAAAGTTAAATCCAGTTAACCCAACGATGTTCTCTAAAACACACACGCATAAACACTGAATGAGTTACTGTATATACAGCTAGAGGTCTATGTTACTGTACACTGCTTAATCCCTTTTAATCCCTGTTTTAGGGATTAAAGTATCTTTGGTGTTAATGTTGCATGCAGCCTTAATGACACTTGTGTAGTGATAGGATTTAAATCCAATAAACCAAGCAATACGTACCTCAGATAACAGACAACTAGCACAGCAGATAATAATGAATACAGCCACCAATGTTTAGATCAAACAGTGATCGATACCAAGTGAGAAACATTTTGACAGAAATGTGAAGGGTTAGAATAATATGTATATTCCAGCCTCAGTCCTTGACTGAAGCCGTAATATACATATCTCTGTCTTACCTGTGTTTAATATATCCATCCAAATGGTTTCTCTCTCTTTCAAAGCCAATAATAAAAAGTCACTTTGTAATAAATATCATGAATGCAGAAAACAGGAAAGCAATTCATTAATTATCACTTAAAATAATAATTATTATTACCGATATAAAAATGATGTTGGAAATATTACAGGATAGGACTATATCGAGGTCATTAGCTTCGGAAGATACACTTTCCTGGACTACATTAGTAATGTAATATAAATAACAGGGCTTGACGACTGACATATAAACACCATGGATGAACTGGCAAATTGTCTACAAGCACGAAGACAAGAACACAGTTTGCAGAACAAGTTTTATAGAGTTGTCTCAGTAAACACCATCTCTGGTATGTTATAGATTGTTTTAACTAATTTATTTGTATTTGTGAATTAAAATACATGAGAAAATAATGCCTTTTCGAGGCGTCAGCATTTCTCACGGTGTACTAGTTAATGAGAAAATTTTGAGTGATCTACCTTAGCTGAGACGGTGATTCTGCCCAGAAAAGACTAAAGGAGATTTTGATTGTAGGTTCTCTCATTAATCCATTTTCCTTAATGCGTGTTTTGAAATGACTAATAGACAGTTAAAAACAACATTGTCTTCCTGTGTTTACCAAGCTGTTGTTACATTGTCTGAACATGTAAATCTATATTATCACTTTTTTATTATTTTACTTTTACTACGTTCTATTAAAAACGGTTAAGCTAACCTAACTTACGTTCAATTAGGTGTCCATTATCCATTCGGCAGGAAAATAAACGTTTGAGTTAAGTGCCCGAGTTTCTTCAGTGGTCTCAATTTTATTTTTAAGAACGTATAGTCTCTGTTGGGAATGTGTGAGATATCACCATTGCCACATTTTTTAATCTGTCGACTACAAGATGGTCATTAAGGCTGCATGTTCCCTGTATACAACCAGTCAGGATAATTGATAATTTGCAATCTTAACATTCGTTTCTTTCACCTTGGCTCATTTTCAGACCATGTCTAAGAAATTTGGTCCTGGAACAAGGACCTACCGGTTATTTCCCGTTCGGGTTTCCAGTCAGCTCAGTCCACAAAAACTCGAGGTGGGAACTTCACCAGTATCCTGTAGGTGGAAGCGGTGACAAGAGAAAAGTTGCAGAAGCTTTGTTGGCACAGAGTTTCACTTCGCTGTAAAAGAATGAAACGTTCTGGAAACTGTCATTTCTGGTGAAGATGTTTACTAAACCAGGGCCATCTAGGTCAGGCAGTCTCCACCAGAGTGCCATTTTTTTTGAAGTCAAAGATATGGCTATTAGACCATTTTATAATGTAGAAGAAATCTGAAGGCTTTCACTATTTTATACTTCAGTAAATGTATACAAAAACTATAACGTAAAGACACAAACTATGAATGAAATTCTGAGAACAAATATGTAAATACTAATTAACCTAACTGGTATGCTAAATTATCTTATCTAGTAGATACTATTGGACATATGAACATTTGAACAATAAAAATTACAGCCCCCAAGGAAAATACAGAAACAAATATTCTTGCGAAAAAAAGAATACATGTACTGTTAAAGAACAGATAAGTGGGTAGAAAATGTGAATGAAAGACAAGAAGAATCCATTTCAAAATACATTCTTGGACAACTATTGTTGAGCGAGAAATCCATTCATTAAAAATTCTACAAACAAATCACACCTGAGCCCAATAATAAGACTAATGTTCACAACGAAAATATTTTGGAATTAAATCACATGGAAGTGGCACATGACACATTTTCATCCAAACTAAGATGCAAAACTCCAGTAATTCTCTGATTTTCCATCTAATCTGCCCAACCATAAGTGCTCCACACTCATAAGCCCTCAAGATGAGGTGGGAAGGCTTTAGAGAGCTCTGGATCGAAATAATTGTAATCACCTTCCTTTACTTGGAACAAATCTGAGCATCTATCATTCACTAAGAGGTGTTTGATCCACTGTATAATCTATACTCGCAAACAAAAAAAAACGAGTAGGGAAATATAACAAGCAGGAAAAGAAATGTGTGCGCGCTTGCCTATTATTCTTTCTATGAGATCTCGTCTATTTCATTAGCCAAGATAAAGTTTCTCAATCTGAGAACTGTATATTGATTCCATACATTTTTGTTTCAAATAGCGCACAGGTATTAAAAGGTATCAATTATTAAGTTATCGGTTAAAAGTTATGCTTCAACTGATTAAAATCATTTGCAATATTTTTATTTTTTTCAAGATATTGACGTAATCTTTTGCTAAAGCTATGCATACTCACTGATTCAACTTCTATACTGACTTGGCATTCATATCCCTATTTAAAGGAGGTAACTCTCGTTGATAGAACTATTCATAAGTAACCTGCAAAATAGAGAGGGAACTGTGATAGACGATTTATTCGGTCGAGGACCTTCATGAATTCATGATTTAGAGAGGATTAAACTGAAACAAGCCAGAAGGCAGGATAGGTGATGAGGTGAGAAGAAAGGATATAGGTTAAGTCGAGAGAAAGCCAGAAGGTGAGAAGAACAGAAGACGCGTCAGGTGAAGAAGTGAGGAAATAGTCAGAAGAGAAGCCATATGTCGAGGTAATAAGAGCCAGAGTGCAGGTTAGGCGAGAGAAGAAAGCCAAAACACAGGTGAGATAAAGATACAAGGAGAAAGTCAGAGGACAGGTCAGGTGAAGATGTAAGCAACACAGACGACAAATTAGGCGACTAGGAGATGATACAGCCAGAATACGGATCAGGTGAGAACAGAAAATAGATTGGGTGAATCTGTGAGGCGAAAGTCAGGACACGGATCAGGTGAGAAAAATGAAGACGGGAATTTTGACTTTTTCCTCAATGACAGAGCCAGAGATCCCGATAAAAAAAAAATCACCCTTTGGTAAAGGAATGTTGAGAAGCATCACTCTAGGTAGACTGGCTGTGGTCAGTAAACTGTTTTGTGCCTGCATCATGATGCGGTACTTTATGCAAGGACGGGTTGGCTACGTCTATGCCCATGCTGGAGATAAAGACGTTGACGATAACCACAATGAAGACGAGGCACACGACGGTCGTGTTGAGGCGGTCGCTCCACTCGTCGTCCTCCTCTTGGTTGATATCGAACCGTTCAGCTACGATGAGAATGATGCCGGCCACAATCTGTAACCACAGTACCACGTATTAATATTGTTATTAAGATGAGCGTGGGCGTCCTACAGTGCCTTGGGATAGGGCGGTAACCAGATCTTACTGAGTGAAGGGGAAAGTAACTCAAGTTCCCTGGATCAAGAGCCCTTCACGCATCTCCCTTGAGGGTTGCAGGTGTAGGAAACGCGATTAACATGAGACACACAGCCCAAAAAGACATGAAGACAATGTAGAAATAATTAATATTCAAATAAGAAATTAAAATTAATTTACGTGTAATATGATATGAAAATTTTATGCGATATAAAAGTTGTGTAAATGAAATTAAAATAAAACTTGGAGGTAAGAGAAAGTGACTGTACAAAGATATTTTAAAAGATAATTAAGATTCACTTTAAAAGGGGTTACGTTCCTATATTTTCCTAACATGTAAAACAGTAACTTTTACATCACCTTAAAGCTTTAGTGAAGATGTACATGATACAGTAAAACAAACGAGTAAAAGACTGTTTTAGTATTCTGGATTGCATTTCATCCGGCCTTGTAAATTTATTAATAATCAGCTCTTGTAGTTACTGTTAATTTTATTGTAGACTGAGGTGAAAATTGCATTGACAGTTAATTAAAAGTCCTGCACATCTCGGTTAAAAAAAAAACATTTTTACTCTTTATATATTTAAAAGACTATCTATTTTTATTGTTTCGGGAAATATTTTTTTCCAAGAACGAATTTGGTATTCCAGGCACATTCGTCCCTCTGGACAACTGTAGTTGGCATATTTCCTGTGTTTTTCCTTTTTCTTAAATTTCGGTCATTATTTGCTTTAGCTGCTAGGATATTATATAATTATCATATAATTCTCCAGAATTAAGTTGGTTGTGCAATGTAGATATATTTTGGGCCTATGGGGATAAATTTTTTGTTGTTGAATGGAAAAGAATCCAATCTAATCCAACCTAACGTAGCCTAACCTTAATTTTGAATTAAATATTATGTTAGGTTAGATTAGGTTTGGTTAAGTATGGCTGGGTTAGGGTTTTCATTGATTACCAAAATATATTGATCCAAATAGGCCCAAATGATAACTGTTTCCACTGAACAACCCTATCAATATTTGTGGAATTTACATTCAGAATAACTGAGCAGCAAATTATCTAACAAACCATTAATCTCCACCAAACAAACATAACAAATCTGGACACAAAACAATGTCTAATGCAAGACCCACTTATTATTGTACAATATATACTAGAAATTATTACCTAACTCGCCGAGCAGCTAATGTAAATATTGACGTAAGTTTCTTGTATGCTATGCTTTTTTGCTCTATGGTATTAATTAACTCTTACATTATTCCAGGTCCTTGGTTCTCTCGTTATTTGTATGGGCTACTGTCTTTCTCAGCAGAATTAATTTTCCATTTCAACCTGTTGAGCATTTCCTCTGCATTAGTCACAAATAATTATTCAATCCAGAACCCTAATTAACATTTCTATGCAAGTTATTAAAGTCCACTCATTTGTGGTTTGGAGCAGTCGATGTCGTAATTTGAATATCAAATTATATATTCACTTTGAAGCATAGAATACTGTGGTCATTGTTAGCAAAAAGCTCGCTCACTTCCTGTATGTTTACAAAGTCGCAATCTGCAGTGAGAACATCGTCAGGTACGTGATCTATATGATCACCGCATTTTGTAACTGTGATAATCAAGTTTTAATAACTATACTTTAAAATTATTAACGTTTGCCTATATAAATGCATCGTTATTGTTATTTAAAAATACAGTGTCATCGTTTAAGGCTATATTAAGTTCCTGGCTCTGAATGGGCGGTCTACTGATGAATATTAACGCAGTCATATGCATCTCTCTCTCTCTCTCTCTCTCTCTCTCTCTCTCTCTCTCTCTCTCTCTCTCTCTCTCTCTCTCTCTCTCTCTCACCTGGATCACTAGACTGAAAATAATGCCCGAGATCACTACATAGTAGATGGGACTCTCGGTGTCACCAAAGTTGATGATGTTACGTAGTTGGTTGGCGTTGGCGGAGAGGAGACTGATGTCGAGGAACCCCTTAGCGATGGTCATGTTCCTTTTCATGACATTGAGGTCGATGGGGCGCTTTGGGTCCCCAGGGTGTGGTGCCTCATGCCCATCGAATTCTAAAGTAAAAATATCAGAATATATGAGGATTCTATAATGATCTCAAGTTCTGACAATGAGATCAAAGCTAGCTAAAAGTAATCTTTAATCTCAATATAACTATGTGTTTGAAGCTCACATTTCAAACTACAAAAAAATCTTTAATCTTAGTTTGAAGCTATAAGGTTTATTCTCAAAGTGAAAGAATGCTGCAGCAACTATTTCCTCTAAAGTTAAAACCATAGAGAGCCTTGAAACTCAACTTTAAATTCTAAACCAAGTATAAGCAAAGTTACATTTAAAAATTTACCTGTTAATGATCAATGAAATATAACGTAACATACAATCAACATTTAAATTTAATTATAGACAGATTATGAGGGTTGGCTTCTTAAGTATTGTAGCATAAAAGAGAACTAGTCGCACGACAGACAATTGCAGCCGTCATTTCTAAGCCGATTCAGTCAGATGGCTTTCTGCATGGCAAAACTCGTTTTGTGCTTTAAATTTTTTTTTTCAAGCTGTTTCAGTACACATCCATCCCTACTGGTTGTAAAAGACACATACATACAGCCACAGAGTTGTTAGGAAGTGGAATAGTCCGGCATGTGATGTATAGGAAGGAACCATACATAGTTTTAAGACGAGGTATGATAAAGCTCATGGAGCAGGGAGAGGGTGGACCCAGTAGCGGTCAGTGAAAAGGTGGGGCCAGGAGCTTTGTCTCGACCACAAAGAGGTGAATACAAAGAGGTGAGAACACACACACACACACACACACACACACAGACCCGCAATGTGCTATTCTGAGAAAACTTCTCACTCTTTCAGTTGCAGCCTTGCAACATTCCAAAGCTGCTGATGATGCACTAAGAAGTGTGAAAGTTCTTGAGCTAAACATTTCCCACCCCCGTGGCTTGTCTTGCATAGTTAAGATCGCTTGTCAGCGATTGTTTGCATATATATATGCTTTACAATTCGCAAATGAGAGAAGGGTTTTACATATTTTATCTCTGTCCAGAGGAAGATTCGAACCTGTGCACTCTGCATCAGCGTTCACAGTACTGCTGGCCATAATTATATTTATCCAACATTGACTTTGAAGAAATAGTTTTCGTGTATCTTTTCAGTAAGCAACTGTAGTTTAGGAAGGATAAATGTTTATAACTGTTTCATGTACACGAGATTTTAAATTATGGAAATTAAAATCTTCTATAACACAACAATTTAGCGTCGCCTAGAAACAAATAAACAGCAAACTACTAAGCTGTTTTATCAGTCTTATATTAAATTGAACTTATGGGATGCAAGAGATTACTAGTTTTATGATTCATGTACAAACACAAACATCGTATGTTAGCAAAAACAGACTAGAATTGACAAGTATTGTACATTAAGATAACCACCAATACAAACATAAGGTATATTGTGATTTGCGAAGTCGTAATTCTACAATTGCAAACAACTGACATTTAACACAGACTCGCAAACAGCAAACTATTAATGACCATCATCAAATTAAAAAAATACAGAAGACCAGTAAAAACATCAATACATTAAATTTACACAGGAAAACATGCGACAGAGACTGAGACATACAAATACATATATTATAAACTAGCACTGACAAACATACGCTAGACTAAGATTCATGATTTTCATTCCCAGAAGTGTTTTTATTAGTTAGAATCTTTCTGCACCCATGTTATTCCAGTTTCTTTAAAAATCTCACAGAAAACTACAAAAACAGCATAAAGTAATCTAGTAGGTCAGTGGTAGAGCGTCCGATTTACAATCGAAAGTTCCTTTGTACGAATAGTGGGTAAAATAAGACGATTGGGCATAGTTTATTAACACGTTATTTGAGAAAGACACTATGATAACAGTGAAACCTTTATTACAACATTTTGCCCAGGACTGGATTTAAACAAGTTTGATAATGAATTAGACACATGTGTTACATCTGGATTTCTATATTTTGTAGATGTCTACAAAAAATATACCCACATGTTGCACTTGTGTCTGATTCGTCATCTTGTCGGAATTTTATACCATTCTCATATTAAATAAGTTTAGTGCATGACGAAATGTCAAAATAAAAGATTCACTGCAAACATAATGACTTTCTTACTGCCTGTCGACTAACTCCAATGTTCATCCGTCTGTTCAAGTTTGCCTAACAGGAATTATATACCAAGGAGTTAGTCGACTATTGTGTGTCGCATCTATGTGGAGGACCTAAGGATACTAAAGGAAATATGCCATATTGATTGTAATGGAAAACCCTGATAAAATAATCCTCCGAGATTAATAATCTGAAGAAAGTTTCTTAAACATATCTAACGCTTTCTGATCGTCAACTGTATAATAAATACACGTAACACGGGCAGTCATCCGTGACTTACCGCATATCGCATCACACAAGCCTCGCTTCCGGTTGCCTTCCAGCTAAAAATAACTCGTTCTCTCTCCCTTGTGGTTGTGATTTATTCCTCAGACCCGACGGGAGGGTAAATTCTCCGTAATGCTACTCCGATCGCATTACTGCAAACTCTCTGTACAAAGTATTTCCTTGAAGGAAATACTTTGTACAGAGAGTTTGCAGTAATGCGATTGGAGTAGCTAACTTGCCATGCTGGCTGGCAATCCCACCGTTTTCTTAAAATACTGATTTTAGTTTTTCCATGAAGAGCACTGAAACACTAACGGTAATACAGTCTATTGGGAGAGAAAGACGACCAAAGATGAAGTCCGTGAAAATAGCCTAACAAAAGTATCCATTAGTATTAACTCTAGTCTCTAGACATCATAGTCATTGTTATTCCTTTACTTTACGACGACAAATAAAGGGAGAACTGAGATGGGCATACCGCATTGAAACGCAAATTATGTGACTTTGTTGAACGAGGTATCATCAGTAAATATCTCTACTGTGGTACACCCTTAACGGAAGATATATACTGAACAGTCTGACGTGTGCAGGCAGCTAGAACGCTAGTGCATGTGAACTGTCAACAATATTCCAAAGACGGTGTTTAACGTAACTAGAACGATGAACAGAAGTTGGGACGTCCCCGTGAATCATCGGGGAATCGATGCATCTTCAATCAAGCCATCCGATATCGGCCAAGGACTTGAACTTCTTGTTGGATTGCATGGTCCTGTGGGTTAGAGCGTCATGTCTTTTCGCTCACCATGAGGCGGGCCAAGGCAGCATGGATTCGAGTCCTTGGCTAGTCGCAGTGTTATTATTGATCAACACCACTGGTTCGTGGTTACCTTATATATATATATATATATATATATAAATAAATATAGGGAGGTACCACCTCTAGAACTGTCATGGGGACCCTCATCCTCAGAGAAAAGAATAAACTTGCTTCAGGGAAAACTCAAGGTTTTCCCTGAAGCTGTTTGAGAATTTTCTCCTACCACCCCCTACATTTCAAGTATGTTTTATTTAAAGACAAAATACATTGGCCAAACATTCACAAAAATACAACAGAAAGTAAAACAACATAGGTAACTCAGAGCTACATCTCGAATACTTCGTCCAGCTCCCCTGCGGTGGGCCGCGTGCCCAGAATGCTGCAGGCATTTCCTCTTTGGATCGCAACACTGAGTCTCTGAAAAAGGAAGCTGGTCGCCCTGTGGTCCTTGGTTTCTATGATGAGCTTTTCACCCAGCTCTTTGAGAAACTTTAGAGCACACTTGCCCCATGCTCCAAGGGTCTCCGACCCTATTGGAATGAAGTTATAGCAAGGGGGGAAGGTCTTCATATTTTCTGATCTTCTTTGTCTCCCTGTGGCATATATATATTTTATATATATATATATTATATATATATATATATATATATATAATATATATATATATATAATGGCCTGCCGAATAGGCAGAACTTGCGATCTTGGCTTAAATAGCAACGCTCATCTTGCCATATAGGACAAGCGAAAATTTGTTTATGCAATAATTTCGCCAAAATCATTCTGAACCTAACGACAAAAATATATTTCACTGTGTTTTAGTATTAAATTATTGTAAACAAATCTAAAATATATTTAGTTGGGTTAGGCTAAAATAAATTGCTCTTGCTATAATAAGGTTAGGTAAGTTTTCTAAGATTCTTTTGGTGCAAAATTAAATATTTTTACATTAACATTAATGAAAAAAATATATCTTTAAACGTATAAGAGAAAATTTTAGAAAGGACTTAATTTTAAGTGAGTTCTTGCTAATTGACCAGTTTTACATATTCGGCACGACATTATATATTATATATATATATATATATTTAATATATATATATATAATATATAATGTCGTGCCGAATATGTAAAACTGGTCAATTAGCAAGAACTCACTTAAAATTAAGACCTTTCTAAAATTTTCTCTTATACGTTTAAAGATATATTTTTTTCATTAATGTTGATGTAAAAATTTATAATTTTGCACCAAAAGGAACTTAGAAAACTTACCTAACCTTATTATAACAAGAACAATTTATTTTAGCCTAATCCAACTAAATATATTTTAGATTTGTTTACAATAATTTAATACTAAACAAACACAGTAAAATATATTTTTTTCGTTAGGTTCAGAATGATTTCGGCGAAATTATCGCATACACAAATTTTCACTTGTCCTATATGGCAAGATGAGCGTTGCTATTTAAGCCAAGATTGCAAGTTCTGCCTATTCGGCACGACATATATATATATATATAATATATATATATTTTTTTATATATATAAAATATATTATATATATATATTATATATATATAAACACTGATCTCTGGCTGAAGGAGACTCGAACCTACGAACCTTGGCACAAGGTACGCAGTGCTTTACCAATCTACCCACACTGGACAATACCTTGGCGTGCAACTTGCGTTACACGTTGATCCAAGGCAGCCAGCTTTCAGGGAGAAGGCTTACAGCTTTTCATCTCATCCCCTTGGATCAACGTGTAACGCAAGTTGCACGCCAAGGTATTGTCCAGTGTGGGTAGATTGGTA